CTAAGTGTGCACCACCTGTATGGCGCAGTATGGGCAGTTACTTCCTTCCAGAAGGAAGTACTAAAGCATGGTGTAGTAACAATGTCGCTGTACAGCGATGTGTAGATGCACCCAACGTGTAATAATTTTGTGGCTGATTCCTTCCACTCTACTCCTCTAACTGAACTTTTGGCCCATGCCAAGATTGGAGTGGGAAACCCAATGGCAGATGAGGCAGGTACCATAGGGTAGGGAGCAGAAAGCAGAGAAGCCTGGTGGGCAGGGGAAGGGGATGGGAGTGGCATTCAGAATGTGAGACTAACTTTTTGGCAGGCATGCCACAAAAGAAAGTCGGCCCCCGTTGGCACAGAATATTTACTCTGGCCATCGTTGGCAGGACTACAAAGATAATCTTCCACAAACCTGAGTAAGGAATGGAAGTGAAACCTGCTTTCTTCCACTGTGTTTTAGTCCTGAAAAAGCTGCTGCTTTTGAGGCAGAGGGTAGGTGAACAAAGACCTAAATGTGCAATATCAAACAAGCAAAGAAAATACAAACTGCATAAGTACCAGGCATGTGTCGGGACTAACAACTGAAATGTGAACTGAACATCCCTACTTACTTTTTGTAAATGCTTGCTCTTGGTGTTAACGTCTCAAGAGAAGACAAGTTCTCCATTCTACCTAAGGCATAGCCTGTACTGTCTGCACAGAAGAATTTTTAAATAAACCTCTACAAAGGTGTAAGGTCCAAATTTTGCTTTTTGTTGTAAGCATCGTCTTTGTTCCTCTTCTAAGGGAGGAAGCAGAAGTTTCATTTTGCCACAGGGTTCTCATGTAGTCCCTTTGTAGGTTTGCAACTAATTGAACAAGCAATTTTAAAATGATGCAACTTCACTGCATTAAAACAACAAAATAAAAAAAACCGTTTAAAGCCTGGAAAGAGCCAGTAGGATGGCACCAACCCTATATTAGTTTTTGACAACCAAGTACCACTAAAAAAAAATGCTTGCGGTGCTACATGTCAACGGAGCTCAGCCCTGCCAATATAGCAAATACATGGGAAGTTTGCCTTTTTTAGGATTGCTTCAGAAATAACTGACAGTTGTTTCAGTTATTGTTGCTCCAGGGGAGGCTGCTATACTATGTAAATGGGTAGAAAGTCTACAGTCTTCTTTCATATGACTGAAAGAGGCTTTTTTTTTTTTTTTTTCTTCCTTGCTTGCAGCTCTTCAGTCAGGTGTCTGACACGCAGGAACTGTAGAGAACCAGGACAATGGCTGCCAGCAAGAACAAGAACCAGAGTTCTCTTGCTCTCCACAAAGTAATCATGGTTGGCAGTGGAGGTGTGGGCAAGTCGGCACTCACACTTCAGTTCATGTATGACGAGGTAAGGTATGGGGGGATGGCTGCACGCATCTCCAGAGAGGTACTTTTCTGGACACCTTGTCATCTTGCTCGGTTCTGTATTTCCTATTTTTGGTAGGAAGCATCAGAATTTCTCTAACGAGAAAACTTTAGTTACTCTCATGCAGGCTATTTTAACAACCACTTGACTCTCAACATTGCAAGAGTGAGTAGTCTTAGGATGTCAAGATATTACAGCTGAGCTGTACTAACTTGATCAAGTAAGCACTCTTGACCTGAGCTAGATGTTGATGAGGAAACAGTGCAGTACCAGAATATAATGGTTTATATAATGTCCCAGTGTCAGCAGATAAGGGTTAAGCCTGCCTTCAATGAAGGATATCTTGTCAGTGGGTCTCTAGGACTTTAGTGGCTACTGCTAACATACTAGGGAGTCGTATTCTTCACAAGGGAAGCTCAAAATTTCAGAGTATTTTTGGGGAGTAGGGAATTGCAGCTTCCTTTGCGTGTGTGTCCCGTCCCCGTTGTCCTTCTCCCCCTAACTGTCAATTAAACTAACTCCTGGCTCTGGGCTCTCTGACTGGCAGTCTTATTGTGGCAAATCATTCCATCATAAAATCTGCATACAGGATATGCCCCAGCCAGAGCTTCATTGCCTACACCTTTAGCCACCTCCGTGTCCTAGAGATCGTCCTGCCCTAACGATAAAAAAAACCCTACTTTGTATTGAGTTCAGGGAACACATATGAAAATGGTTCTTTTTCTAGGGAAGCACTTGTCAGCCCTCAGACGCAGAGTCCACCTGACAACCAGCCACCAGCCATAACTTTTTAGCACCTGAATCTTCTAAAATTCATTTAGAAACCATATTCAGCTAATGCAGATTTAGAGAACAGCTGTGTGCTCGTGATGTATGCTGTCACTTAATAGCTGAGCTGCTGTTTTCTACACCTGCATCAGGTTCTGAACAGAGCTGTGGTGTGTTCCTACGTAAGAGTTACTATAGTAACTATTAAGGCCTTAAGAGTCAGGGGAATTATACCCAAGTCAGTTCATTTGGCCTAAGTTGACATAACTTTGATAAAATGCACAACCCATATTTTGCTGAACATGAAATAAACTCAGAGTAACAAATGCCATGTAGCATGAGCTGCTTCTGATGTGTGGACTCTGGCCTGGATCAGAGACATGACCTTCAATCTGCTAATTCCCCTTAAGACACTAGAACCAAAAAATGGCCTTAAATAGATGATAGTGATCCAAAAAAAAAAAAAAAAAAAGCCCTGCAAAGGCTATTTTAATCATTATGAAAATGGAGAGGAATAGGCTGAGGTGAGTGCCACATCTGACAAAGTTGGAGGTGCTGTGAACTAACTCCCTTCTTACGCCCCTCAGTTTGTGGAAGACTATGAACCCACAAAGGCTGACAGTTACAGGAAGAAAGTGGTTCTGGATGGTGAAGAGGTCCAGATAGACATACTGGACACAGCAGGACAGGAGGACTATGCAGCCATTCGAGACAACTACTTCCGCAGCGGAGAGGGGTTTCTGCTAGTGTTCTCCATAACGGAGCATGAATCCTTTACAGCAACAGCAGAGTTCCGGTAAGCACCTACTATCTAGTGGGATGGAGAAAAATGGAGTGCTTCAATCCCTTTCATTTTCATGTCCTTTTCCTAGGAGGAGCAGGTTTGATTGGCAAAATGAATAGCTGCTTTTGATGGATTACTAATAGGCAAAAGTGCCGTGGGTACTAAATTTTGTTAACTCTTGCAGGAATTGTTAAACGATTCTCAGCTGAACTAAGCTGAGTTCATGTATCTAACTTCTGCTTGCATTGGGACAGTGCAAATCTAATCTTAAATATTCTCTAATCTAGTTTTGTGGCTTGAAAACATATCTAGGCTGGCATAGATGAAAAGATATTTTAGCTAGATTTGCACAACTAGCATATGCCATAACAGATTTGTTTAGTCCTATCTGTCTCCACTACTTCAGCTGCAGGATGTCTGCTGGCTACCTGATAGAACAGAAAACTGGACTACTAGCCGCTCTGTCACGTGTCTATACGCAGATGCTGTAGCTGTGTACAAAAGCTCCAGTGGAGTTCAGGGTTGGGTCTAGTGCCAGGCTGTTTCTCAGACTATGGTACCTGAGACACACCGGAAGTAAAGTCCCTTCTTCAGGAAGGTCAACGATGATATAACTTGCTTATCTGCATGAAAAGTTTGAACACCACTTTTAATCTCTTGCCTACCCTAGATAGAAGTGAATAGGGAGTTCTTCCTATTTCTATACTAGTTTCATTCTTCTAGCAGTTGACTACCACTGTCTACAGTGTAGAAGTAGGTTACATCCTGTTTGGTCCTACTTAATGTAGCTATCTACTTGCTTGTCCTCAGTTCTCCTCTCATTGCTTGTATAATGAATGGGCTTCAAAGTAGCACTCTTGACTGGTAGAGCACATGCATGTAACACATTTGTAGTTTGATTGCAACATAGCCTGCCTCTTGGTGTGGCTTCTGAACTTATTTGCTGAGACCTGGTTGAAGCAGCAGGGGAATGAAGCAAAAGACCACTAGATTTAAACTAAGGTTGCCTGCCACTATGATAGGCTATAGTGTTTCTGGAGATTGTGCTGTTCATCTAGGATGATGGAACTGTTGAACTGCTACACGTGGCACAAGTGATGTACGGAGGAACATAATGCCTCTGGACAAGGCAAAAGGGCTAAATGCAGGCCATCTTTAATCATTTGTGCAGACCCTCATTACATAATTCCTGAAGTCGGTGGTACTGAGCCTGGTTCCCTAGACTTGGCTTATACACACACCTGCGGCTCTCTGCACTCAGTAGGAAGTGCAACTGAAGGCTTCCTTTGGCCAACTGCATGTGACGAAAAACCCAACAACCTGTAATGGTAGCTCCCAAGGGAAACTTTTCTAAAACACCCATATAGCCTTCAAGGCTGGAGGAGCTGGTGCCCACTTTACTCCAGAGTGAATTGAGGTGGTAGACTTAGAGTAAGAATGAAGGCAGAGAGCGTTATCAGGGCAAAAGTAAGGTTGTTAGTGGCACAGGCAAAAGAAAAACCTGTCTGTCCTGGTGATGCTTATCACAGGGCAATCCAACACGGCAGACTTGACTCATCAGAATGAATTTGAGATTAAGAGCCAGCCTGCAAGACTTCACCTGGTTGTTGTCACAACCCAAAGGGTGTGATTTTTGTTTTTGTGTGCTTCAGCACTGCTAAATTGTCCCCGCTAAATTACAGCTTCTTTGCACAGTGGAGTTTTCTGCTGCAAAAGAGAACCCCGGTGCAAGGGAGAATTTCCCGCCAATTTGAAGCTTTCTTTGCAGGGTGCATTTCTTTGTTGCAGCACAGAAATGCTCATTGCAAAGAGTTCCTGCCATTTGTATGCTAATTCGAGCCCCATTATTGGCCAGTTCTAAATTACGCACATGTGGCGGCTAGTGATTGGATTGCTAGCCGTATAAAAGGCTTGAGTGGTTTCAGCCCAAGTTGGAGGACTCCACGAACACCAGGAGGAGGAGACTTCACGCTGTGTGAAGATCTCTAAGCGCTGTGGATCCTTATGGACCCAGCGCATTTCAAGCAGGCAACAGAGGTCTGATCAGCCTCTGGCCTCTACCCGTCGCCGATAGATTCCTAGACGTATCCCTCCCTGCGCGCAAAAGGACCGGACCCACGGAGCCTTGCAAACTTCGTGTGAGTCTATTAAGAGCTCTTTCGGACGAGTACTTTCTTCGGTTGGCACGACGGGCTCGCGGTTCAGAGCCTCCAACCGGATGGGCTAGAGTTCGCGAGTTTAGAACTCTTGTCTGCCTCTCTTCTTTCCTGTCTGTAACCGCAACTCAAGCAAGTTTTCCAGCCTACACCACGACCATCTTTGGTGTAAGTAAACAATCTTTAAAACTACCGCTACGAGTCTGTGCCTAATTCTAGCTTGTTGCGCCCCTCCTCTCCGACCCCGCGTGCCCGGGCTGCTGGCCACAGCCCGTGTAGAGCACAAAAAAGGGCCCGGCTCGCAACCGGCCCGCACAGTTGTCATTCTTGACAACCAACTTCCTGGGGGTACTTGGATTTGGAGAATGCTTTCTACCTGATGTGGTAAGGCAAAAGTAAACCAATCCCGCAGAAGGTCAAAGCTCTGCCTGAGCCTAAGTGGCCTGTTGCCTTAATCCGTATATGAGTGTGACCTAGCATCACATGTCTACTTCTGACCTCAAATTATCATGTACTCATTTACATCTGGGTTGATCAGGGGTACCTTTGTCATGTGGTACTCTTCCTCTGGTCTCCAAATCCTGGAATTTGCTGAATCTGCCTCAGCTACCTCAAGGGCCTGAACAAACATGCAATTTTCTGTTATACAAACGTGCTGATAGCAGTAACTTTTTTTTTTTTTAGCATAACCACTGCATCTTTTAACCCATCATAGATCAGGATCATTTCAAAGCTATGCCAGACTAGATCCCCAAGGCCCAGGAATTGGAGGATAAAGTAAAGTCGATACTCCAAGGAGGAGGCATTAAGTTGTTTCCAGATTTCTGAAAGTCAAGGACATCTGAAACACAATTAGACTACAGCCTTCCTCTTGCCCAGGGACTTCAAATGATTGGTGTGCTGGCAGCCCCTTCAGCAGTGCCTGTGCAAACCATTTTCTCTCGAACAGTAGAGTGCTCTCTGGCCATGAGGACTGATTCATGTACAGAGCTTTACATGATCTTCTGGAAACAAGAATTTTGCTTGAACGTGACCAGGGAGTTGTAGCAGGGCAGACTGAAACGCGGTTCTGTCCAAATTTAGCCAAATCATCCCACAGAAAAGCATAGGTATAATTGCTTAACTGCTCAAAGGGCTTCAGAATTTGACTTTCAAAAGCCTTGATGGTAGCATATGTATATTTTGGTTTCCTGCTTCTCTTCCATGCTACTTTGTTCATTCTCTAGAGCTACACCCTTGGGTTGGAGCTGCTCCGTACATAATACCTCCTTACTTTGGACTTCAGTCATTGCCTACAAGAGAGAGTCTAGATTTCACTTGGATCTTGCAAATCTGGTGGCTTAATTACAGTTCATAATGCTTTGACCTGTAGAAAAAGGCAGTCCATCTCCAAGGCTCTTCCATTGTCCACAAATCTTCCTTTCTTCCTCTGCCTCCCCTCGCATCTGAAATGGGGATTCGGTGTGTATACTGCTACAGTAAATACAACGTTAGGATTTGTTCCAACTGTCACGTAATCTAAAACTTTCAGAAATCTCAAGGGAACAGACAGTCTACTCTGAACAAAAATGCAGGCATCCGCCTTTTAGAAATGTTCCCATCCTACTGACTTGTATTTTTGTGCCTTCTTCCTCCAATGCAAACTACTACTAAACTAGCTCAATAGCCTTGGATCCAGTTAGCAGTGAGAAAATGGTGCTTGCTGACAATATGTAAAATAATTTTACAGCTTTATCTTGTGAGAATTGTATTTTTATTTCTTTTTAACGTCTCCTTCCGCCTCAGGCTTTCTTTGGAAGGGAAGTAGGAGGAGTGGGGGAGAAACGGGTGTTTTAAATATGGAATTTTAATTGGCTTGCAAAAACCTACTGAAAATGACCTTTAAAACATTTTTTTCGACACTTTAGAGGGGAGGTATCAAAGGCACCCTCCCATAGGGCAGTGCATCCACCTTCCTGTCAGCCAGAGAGAGGGCTGCTGCACAGTGGGACCCAGAAGTGAACTTAAAGGGGAGCTTGAAAAAGAGATTTTTAATAGACAATTAAGTCAGTAGATCTCCCTTATTTGATTCTGAACTTATCAGATCCTGGTAAATAAGAGTGATTTAATCTTTGGTCATGGGAATTTGGATAACTTTCACTTTGTTTCTAGTGAAGACCCACCGTGTTCTCAATGAGGTGCATTACCTGCACTCCCTTATTAGATAAAACGTTGTTTTTAAATTGGTGGTGCCCAGTCGTCTGGCCATGTGGACTGGATGGATGGTGCAGGTTTGGTCCGAGTCTGATCTGACCTCGCACTTGTCCGATATGGTGCACACGGCCATGTTATCAAGGGCAATTAAAGCTGCCAGTGCTCCCCCATCACACAATTTCCAGACCTCTGGGGGTTGAGCACTCCTGGTTTAAATTGCATGTCAACAACCACTTTCCTCCCTTTTTTAAATTGGTTCCTGCAAGCCAAATAGAAAAACACTGACACACAACAAACTCCCAGTAACTTGTCTGTGACTGGATGTTATATCAAGCTTTGTTTCAAAAGCCAAACTTCCCCCGTGTATTTAATCTGTGGCTGTGGACACGGGCGCGTTCTGGAATCCTTTCAAAAAGGGATCTTCCCGTTCAGTGGTTCTTAGTCTCCACAAACTGGGAGGCTAGGCACCCCTCTGTTAATCTTGGGAATTGAGCAGTGCCCCATAAAAAAAAAAAAAAACAACTAAATTTATTACAGGGCTTTGCAACCTCCCGGAGGTGGAGGAGCAGCCAGGCAGGGAGAGCCTGAGCCTGCCCATATCTGCTTGATCTCCTCACCGGAGGCCTGAGCCTGCCTCTTATTTGCTCATCTCCTTGTGCTTCCAGTGCCACTTCAAAGGGCCTGGCAGCACCGTAGGGTTTTCCCCCAGGCACCCGGGCTGAGAAGTGCTGTTCTAGTTGTTACATGTGAACCAGGTGAGAACAATCTGAAGTGTAGCAAAACCCACTTTCACACTGCTTCATGCACCACAGCATAGGTATTTTGTCTTCATGGGGTGTGAAAGTGGGTTTTGCTACACTTCAGATCATTCTCACCTGGTTCACGTGACAACTACTAACCTACCCGCTGTTTGAAGGGCTTCCAAATATACATGCATCTGCACTCTTGTTTACTGTTTCTTCTCTCGTGGCATCTGTCTACGTGACTCTAAGATGGCAAAACTGGAGTCTTTTGACTTCAATTGATTGTAGCATGGCTTATTTTTTGCATAATGTGTGCTCGAGGTGAGGTGACCATCAGCATACAGGGCAGCAGATGCAATCTGCTGTCAGGGAAGGAAAAGTGCAAGCAGCTACTTGTTTCAGCTTCTCTGCCTAATCTTGGTAGACTAGGCTGCCTGGAAAACGTGTGGCTGCTTCTTAAGGCCTCTCTTGCCACATGATGAAGCAATATGGAAAGCAGGCTAAAAGAGAAAACTACACTCGGAGACTGCTGGAACATAAACAGGCTGCATGTTGTTGCTGACGCATGCTGCTGTCAATATGTCTTAATTGGTTTGGCAGGGACTTGTGGTGGTTTTTTGTTTTTCTTTTATTTAACTGACTTCCTGGATATTTGCACAATATCCTTGAGAATTAAGCTGCATGGCATCACCTTAATCATTTCTCTTTTATTGGTAGCAAAGGTGGTTGTGTGTGTGCAGGTGGTGTTTGCTTATTTGTTTGGTTTTTTTCCCCTTGAATTGACTTCAGTGGATGCCTTCAAAGACACAGTCTTCCAAACCTGTTTCGTAATGTCTTTTAACAAGGAAAAGAGTTGATATTTGCCTGGTTAAGTCCAGGTAACAGCAGTTTTTTGCTCTGCCCCTCTGGTGGCACGACCTCGTGTAGTTCACTTAATGTGGTCCCCGTGCACCACCTCCGGTTTCTGCTTCTGTAGAGCGGGCTAATACTCTGCAGCTTAAAGCTTATAGGACCTCTCTTGGAAAGCCTGCTGATCTTCAGATTGAAAGCAAAAAATAGTATCAAACTGCTTCCATCTGTAGTATAGATAAAGACAAATTGATATGTACCAGGTGAGTTGCCTATTTATAGCTGTTCTTTCTTGAACTCATCAAAAAAATAATTATGGTGCAAGTATCTTAAACAGAGGGAACTGCTTAGCCTGTAGATGCTTTCTTTTAGTCAGAGCTGGAGGAAATGGCAATGGCTCTCCATTGGAGCAAAACATAGCTTTCCTGTAAGTTATAACTTATTTCTGTGATTGGGCTGTCTTGGTACAGCGCCTGCAGTGTGACCACTTTAATGGGTGCCAAATTTAATGCATGCATCAGACCATCCTATAGCCTTTGGCACTGTGAAGGCCATTCAGTTATTCCTGATGCGCGTTTTATTTTTGTCAAGTACAGGAAGCTGTGATACAGCTAACTCGGCTATTTTATTTTTAATGCTTGATGCATTAGGGAACAGATCCTGCGCGTGAAGGCTGAAGAGGACAAAATACCTTTGCTCGTGGTGGGAAACAAATCCGACTTGGAAGAGCGCAGACAGGTGCCTGTAGAGGAGGCCAGAACTAAAGCAGAGGAGTGGGGAGTGCAGTATGTAGAGACTTCTGCCAAAACTAGAGCAAATGTGGATAAGGTAAGAAAAGTTGCTGTTCTTTCTATAGTCAAACCATAGACACATGAGTGACTAACAGCCTGCCTCTTGGGCTCAAAGGCACAATTCATGGCTACGGTTACAATATTCTACCCACTAAATAACTTTGTTGTCAGGAATATCCTGCAAGTGAAGCAGTTCACTGGTGTTTGGCTGTGTAACGTGCCAACTTGTACCTTTCGTCTCTCTTTCTAGTGTACAAAAGTCCCTGTACAGTTACAAGGCTTTTGGATGGTAATTTTTGAGATGCAGGAGACTTACTGAATCAGTCTTTGCTGCCCATGCTACAACCCATGCATCTGCTGTCCTGTCAGCTGCAGAGAGGCCTTGTGAGATTTTTGGAGATTTAGTAGAAATGGCTATCTGTGCGCTCACTTGCGCTTGCTTTTCCCCCCAGCCCCTCCTCCCCTCTTCTTTTTCTCTTTAAGGTTTGGTAGTCTCTAGCCTGACTTCACTTTTGGGTTCTTGGATGGTTTCTCATTTTTTAAATTTTGAGGAGACAATGTTTGTGATTGTTCTTGTATAGTTCATGCGGTTTTTAAATATATGGAGTCTCTGAAACGTCTGGAAATTAAAGTCCTCTTCAAAGAGGGTACGGAAAAAAAAACTGATAGACATGCCAACAAAGCATGACTCTGTTGGGAGGAATTTGAACAAATGTAGTGGGAACCCTTAAGGGATACTTAGTGAAAGGTAGCTGGCAGGAATTCCTCTGTCTGCAGCTTGAGAATCAGCAAACCCTTCTCTGTGGTTTGGGAAGTGCCTAGCCGATTGCAGTTCCTCATTTCACCAACAAGACTGGTTTGGGTTGTAGCTTCACCTGTTGAATGCTTTTTTTTTCTCTTCTCCCCCTCCTTTACATACCCCTTGCGTTTCAGACATGGCATCTAAGGCCCTATTCCTGACATGTCTGCAACTTTTTTTTTTCCGGTTAATTGAAAAGAAGAACTATTTATCAAATAACTACAAAACTTGAACTTGTAACTAATAGAGCAAAAACTAACTTTTTTTTCCCAGTAAACCTTCTGCTGTTGTTCTGATGAGGCCAGCTCTTCGGTTGCAGCTGCTTCATTACTTTTTCCTGGAACTTTATTTTCCATCAAAATTTCCAGATACATTTTTGCATTCAATTCCAAACTTTAGAAAGCATGTGCTATGATTTATCCTGACTTCAGTTGAGACACTTACCTAGATGGTGTACATGTCTGGGAACAGAGAGCTGGGTTCTGCTTGTCACATGATATTTAATCACTTAAAATCTATTCTGGCTCGCCTTCCACAAAATCAGGATAACCTCCCAATTTTTTTATTTCATTTAATATTTGGAAGGTGCTAGACAAAAGGTCTCATTGTCTCCTGGTTTCACTTTCATGTATTAATTGGCAATGTACTTCTATGATTAATATTAATCTCCTGGAGCACTATACTATGCATTGGCATGCAGGGCTTGCTTTACTTCCACCTAACAGTGAAATCCATTAAAATAAGGGTTTTATTTTCAAAGCAAGTTGTTGAATATTTTGGCAGCCAGGTAGGATTATCAGTCTGTCTTTCCCTGCTTAATATACTACATAACATGGGGATCTGGGTTCAGCCACTCTCGTTAGGTGCTTTCCTGTTACCTGCATTTTTCCTAGTACATTAGCTTAGACATCAGTAGCCTAACCAAACTTGCTGCTGCCAGAACTGACTTCTAATCTTCCATGTGTATTTTTCCACCTTTTCAGGTATTCTTTGATTTGATGAGGGAAATCAGAGCGAAGAAAATGTCAGAAAACAAAGACAAGAATGGCAAGAAAAGTGGCAAGAACAAGAAAAGCTTTAAAGGAAGATGTTGCTTACTGTGATACTTGGGAACTGTAAAGATCTACAGATGGAATAAGACACTTACCACTAAGGATATAGGGCTGGATTCATGGAAGGAAGTCTGTATTAACTTTTTTTTATTCACGTATCGCCTCTTCAAAATGCAAAAACTTTGACTTACGAACCATTTAGGGGTCAGCAGAAACCTGAGCCCACTTTACACTGAGATGGTTTTGCCTTCCCAGTAACATTGAAGGCTACAGTTTTTACCAGTAAATGTAGCATTATAGGGGTGATTCTGCCTGCTGTAGAAGTATTCCCATATGAATTTCATAATAGTATCTCAATGCTTCTTTGAAATCTGGCTTTTCCCGAAGCTGCATTGGTTTAAAAGTCACGCATCAAATTTTGGGTTGAACTTACTGTCTACACTCCCCAACTTCAAAAAAGTGGATAAACCCAATATCTGGTAAGGCTTTGAGTTTCAGTCTTGGGTATGGTGGTTATACACTCCTCTTCCCCCTTCTTTACCCTCCATCCCCTCATTCAGCCTCTCAACTGTAAGATCTACTTGATGTCTCAGTACTTTGAACTGACACAAGGGAGTCCTACCTCCAATGGTTGTTGGCTTCTGCCTGCCCAACAGTCAATGCAGGATTCATTAATCAAGCTTGTACACTCAATTGGACCTTATTTTGGTATTGTAACACTTAATATTTAAAATACCGGCCAGCTGTGTTCCCCCACTGGCCTCACTCTTTTCTCTCATAATGCTTAAATTATTTGGAGGGGTGGGAAAATGACCTAAAGCCTTCTTTTAAAAAAAAAAAAAAAAAAAAAAGTGGAGATGCCAGTTAGAATGACCTTGATAGGAAGTGTTGAGGCTACACTGCTAAAGTCACTTTTCTTTTTTTTCCTTCCTCCCCTCAATTACCTAGACTAGAGAAAAAGTGTAATTCTGTTTACTTCTTGCACTAGCAATCATGTTGGAGATGTAGAAACTGCATTTCTGCTCTCTCTTGTTTAAGACTAACACACACTTTTGAGGAAGGAGATGGACCACATCACAGCACCATAAAGCTGAAACCAGTGTGAGGCTTCACTGCTACCTCTCAGCTTGACACAATTACTTAGCTAGGAAGTTGCTAAATGTCCAACAGCTAGGTTAAGCAACTGTCACTCTTTTTGTTAATGCTGTTAACTTTTTAATATATTATTCCTCATGCACATGTATTTAAAGTATGGAAACACTTCAAGGTTTGCTTTTTAGTTTTACTGAAAAAGTCACATTCCTAAATCAGGGAGGGAAGGTCGGTATTTAGCAGTTCATATCTTCTGTCAGACAGTTTACACTATAATATTAAAAGGGTAGTTCAGTAGATTTAAATGGAGGGGAAAAAGTCCTTCTAGGTGTTGCTATTGCAGAGAGAATCAGTTGATTTCTTTCTGCTTCTGGAATGCATTTTATACAACTGGTTAGTAAATGATGGTAAGACCCCTAACATGGATTATAATCAACTGTAGACAGAAGTTTCCCATTTAAAAATTAGTCTTTTTTTTTTTTTTCTAACTACTTAATCTAGCTTGTTCCAAGTTCATTCAAATTTGGCTACAGGGAGAAAAGAAGCTGAGGGAAATGCTGTTGTAAAGTCTTCAATAAGCACTAAATCAACCTTATTACTCCTGCTTTGGGAGGGTGAGGGTACAGAGGCAGGGAAAATTCAAAGGTGATTATTGTAACTCTAAAGTTACTAGATTGTTCCTATAACCACATTGCTGCTTTTGTGCATCCCACTTGAGGATTTGGAAAGGAAAACTAAAGGTCAGCCTTGTGGAGGCCTTGGACTGAAGTCTTGCAGGGACTTCAGAGTTTCTCAGCCTGCAGATTCATTGTCTTCCATGTCTTGGTTCTGTTTGTCAGGTTAACCCATTTGATTGGGAAAACTGTACATCTAATAAAGGGTGCTGTAATCTGTCTTATTGTCAAGTTAAATTTCTGCCTGGTTCGTGGTGTCATCTTTTGGCCAGAAGGAGCAGTCAGCTAAGCTTGACTATAATCAAGCTAGTTTGATTAATACCACAAAAATGTGGGAACAGTGTGGTTTGGGCGAAGGGGCGTGGTTTTACAGATGTTGCATTTAAATCCAGATATAAAGGTTCAAACCAGTTTGCTGCACAACTTAAAGGAGTGCAGTTGGTTGGGGGGGGGGAGGGAAGGTTTTGCCGATCTCTTCCCCCCCCATGCAATCTTGGATGCTTCAGTATTGTTCAGCTCCAATAGGCTGACATCCACTTCTTACTGTCTGTCTCTGTCTGAAAAATGAGCTGGCTTTCAGTCTTCTGTTGCTGGCCTCTAGTCCCTATTCAAGCTCCTTCCAAATGCTCAAGCAATAAGCACAGCGCTTTGGTGCTTGAACTGTAAATACAGCGAGGAATGTTCCCCTCTTGAGTAATACCAGTCTCTTAAAGTTTCTCTATCCAGTGTCTTTGTCCAGGATTTTCCACTTAGTCATGGTTGCAGTGTTGTTTGGTGAGAATGTATTAACTGTAGTGTTGCTCAGCCTGGATGGGCAGATCCAGGATTTTGTGAAGCGGGGTGGGAGTAGCAGCTAGTGCTGCCGGGGCAGCTACACTCCCTGCTGGATATACCCATCACCAGTGGGGGACTCTTAAAAACAAATGTCCCAATTTGGCTAAGAATCCTCCATCCCCCTCTGTGTTCCCTTCTCCCGACCCCCTTTGCAGCCACTGTCTCTGGGGGTGAAGGAGAAGGGGGTTTTGGAGCAGCTCCTGCCCTGCTCCAGCCATGCTGTATGGGGGCCAGAATCTGCTGGGGACAACAGTGGCATGCAGGGTCCTTCCCTTCCTCTAATCATGCCTGCTCCTGGGCAGGGGGATGGGGCAGGACATCTGTGGGGACAGAGCAGGGAGGAGTAATGTGCCTGCTTCCGATGCTGTCCCCAGCTGAGCTTGACTGAGGTGATGTGGGGATGGGGAGGAGATGGGATATGCCATG